GGGGGAGGGGGGTGTGCTTCTGGCACCCGTGCAGCTCACCTTCTCTGCCCTAGGAGCTTGGGGTGGCGGTGGGGGAGCTTCCTTCCAGGTGCTGGGACCAGGCTCTAAAGCTTAGAGATTTTATTGACATCATATCTGTCAATATGGTGAATGACATTAAAAACTTGCTAATATTAAACCACACTTTCTATGATAAACCAAACTGATTTGTAATCATTTTTATATACTCACAGTTTTGATATGCTATTTTAATGATTTTTGAAAATAACATCATTTTACAGTTAGATTAGTGTATAATTTTATTTTTTCAAGTTTCTTTTTATGTATCAAGTTTACTGGAGTTTTACAAAAATGAACTCTGGACTCTTCCTCTTATTGTCTGGTAAAATTCTTAGAATACTGTTTGAATCATGCAGAGCTGAGGTTCTTACTGGTGGTAATACTTTTAAGCCACAATTTCAATTTCTTTATTGATTTATAAGACTAATAAGAGTTTTTGTCTCTGTTATGAACAGCTTTAGTCAGCTATATTTTCTGTTAAAGTTTAAAAAATTTCAAATATGTTGCATGAGATTAATAATAAAATTATACTCTCATCTTTTTAATCTGTCATGACTATGATCATGTCCTAATTTTTACTTAAAGTACTTCTTACACCTCTATTTTTTCCTTTGGTAATCTCCTCTAGAGAATTTTCTATTTTAAAATCTTTTAAAAACTGGTGTTTGCATTTATGGCAATATTGTATTTTTTTTTTCTGGAAAGTTTCATAAGATTTCAGTTTTCTTCATTGCTCTACAGTTTCACTGCAATGCAATTAGGTCCAGATTAACTTACACCACTTAGAATACGTAGAGCCTTGTGACTTTCTTCAGTTTTGGAAGAATGCCAGTCCAATTTCTTTGAATAAGCCTTTTTCAGCACTCTCTAAGTCATCTCTGGAATTCCTGTTAGGCATATTCTTGATTTATATTGCTTAGGAATATCTTCATTAACAATTTTCTTATCTGTATTCTGTATAGAATGTGTTCTTTCTATTCAGTTTTATTAATCAATTTATATTTTATTGTCAAGAAGTACTTTTTCATGTCTATCTGTTCTTGTTTTATTTTTTGCTTTAAACTTTTTGTTCTCATGAATATTGATTTTATTCTTTCTGAAAAGATTATAACCATTATTATTTTAATACTTTCTATGAATATTTTGCTGTTTTCTGACTTTGCTCAGAGAGAATTCATATATTGTTTATGAGTTTTATTTTTTTGCTCTCCCTCAACATCTATGGGTGTTTAGAGTGTAGACTGCCTTTGTCTCTTGAGTGGCTCTCTCACCTCCAGCTTATTGTGAGAGCTGAGCAATTCCATCTATACAGAATTTCAATCTTTCCTAGCCAGAGCCAGGCTTGGCAGCTTGTATATTTTCCCTGGAGAATCAGTGTATGGTTTACCTCAGGTAATGAGGATGCACTTAGGTGCTTCTGTCTCTCTGAATGCCAGCAAATGTAGCTTTTCCAGCTTTCTATTTTTAGTGCATCAGCTTCAGCCAAGATTGACTTCTCAAGCAGGAAACTTGGCTCTCTCAATCCCCTGCCTCAAATAAGTGCATTTAAACCTATACTGTCGTGGGATTCAAATTCCTGAGTATCTCTTTCTGCTTTTTTATGTCTAATAGACCTTGAGGTTCATTTCTGCTTTCTTCTTGCATTTCTGTGTCACTTCTAATTTTGAAATTATGGTGAGTCCCAGTTCATCTCTTCAACTGCAGTATCTGGGCCTGACCTATAATCATTGTCAGACTACCTTCCCCTCTGTGTAATGGCATTTACTTTTTACTTGCTATGTGAACATTTTATTACCCCAGAGACTTTTTGTGGGACCAAAAGCTCTTCTTTAGAAGCAGTGTCTTCTGAGCCACAGTTACAGAGATTCCCTTTTTCCTAATCTATGGTTCAAATGTTTAAATTGAAAACTGCTCCTTAAATGAGCCAGCTGAGAAAGCAAGTTTTTAATCTAGCTCTGCTACTTACTATGTGTGTAGTCCTTGGAAAATATTTGTTACATTGAAACTATATTTTCTATTCCGTAACTTTTAAGGGAAATTATAAAAATTAAATAGCATATTATCTGTGAAAGTGCAATGAAAATACTAAAGTGCCATGGGAAAGTTTAGTTGGGTTTCTTATGTCAAATGAAAACACTGCAAATGTATATTGAACCAATCCATAGTGCGATAGGTGAATACTGTTTCAGAAAGTCATCTTTTATGTATTCTTTCAAACAATATTCAATCATTATTTCAACTGCTGTGGAGCAGGTACTGAGCTAGGCCCGGGGAGGTGATGTGGCCCAGCATGATTAAATCTCACATATGCTTTGATTTGCATGTTTTGATGAAATTTTAGAATTGTTCATATATACAGTTATGCTATCAATAGCACGGAAAGAAACATGCTGAAGAAAATAAGGAAACTAACTATATGACAAACTAAAAACTCTTAGTCATTTTGACATATCTACTCTTTTCTCCAGCATTTTCTTGGTGTAAGTGATGACATACTTAGATGACTGGACCAGATCAACAAATTAGCTATTTAAAACCTTTATGCTCACGAAACTATTTGGCAATCTTTGTCTTTGTGGTTTTGAACATTAAGTGCAGAAGTCTTATGTCCTTTTCTATGTTTAGTTTCTATTGTCAAATTATCCTTAGGCTCTTCTACTGTACTCTATGTCCTGAAAGGAGATAAATCTCTTTCAGAGAGCAGAAAGGGGTAGGTATATATGCCAGCCCTTGCTAGTCCTATACTCTGTGGGTTTCTGGTTCTGACTTTTGGATAACCATGGATTTACAAAGGTAACAAAAGCTGTGTCTAAAACTGTGTTATGGTTCAAGAAGATTAAGAAATTACTTGAGCCAAGCCTTTTAATGTTTTAATTTATTGCTTGCATATTTCATTGGCAGCCACAAGGATTGCTCTTAAATATTACTATGAAGGACTGGAAAATTTTTGCTCAGCTATTATTCAGTCTTTGACCACTGAGGAATGATTCATTTTTCCCTTATGCTTTCATTGATGCTCTTATAATTTTATTAATTTCTTTCCCTCTGGCCTTTCCTTCTCAAATGTACCTTTTTTCTTTTTCCTTTTTAGCCCCTATCTCCTCCTTCTGTGTTGCTTCTCCGAAGGATTGCAAATTTTCATCTAGCTTTCTTTAGTTTACCATATGTGTGCATGACAAATCTGACCTATACCTACTTGCTGGGCTTGCTGTGGGCCCCTGGAATAGCAGAGGAAGGAGTGGAGGAGAGGACAGGGACAGGGAGGAAGAGGTAGCCTGTGACACTGTCCTGTCAGACATCTTCTGCTTCTTGCTGCTTTCCTGTTTTGCTTTCAATTTTCATTGCTGCACTGTGGATGGGCCTGGCCTTGCGTGCTGTCTTGGCCTTTGCAAAGTCACTTCAGTCTCACCACAGGACACCATTCTCCTGTGCCACAGCAACCAAGAAAGGAAGCAGTGAAGAAGTCAGGGTTCTTAGTGGTGTCCTAACGTTTAGTAGTGTTCTAAGTTGTTGAGAAGAGGCTTTCTCTCTCTCTCTCTCTCTCTCTCTCTCTCTGGAGAATAAATGAAAGTGTAGAAAAAAAGGTTTTAGCGTCCCAGGACTATAGGTGATATTTTTGAGCATTTAGTAAGGTATAGTCACCATTCTAAATGTTTTACACATTTTTATTCACAGACTTATCATGAAACTATTAGGGTTTAGGTTCTGTTATCAACTCTGTTCTACATTTGGGAGAATACTACTAGCATGTAGGTCCTTGTGCAGACAGCTAATACGTTCTCACAAACCTAAACAATCAGGTCCTGTAATTTTTAGACAAAAATATATCCATTTTACAGTTTCTCTTGTGTTTTAAAAGAATACATGTTTGGTGCTACTAGATTATTCCTTTAGAAAATAGTATTACCAATGATCTCCTAATACAGCAAAAATCTTTTAAATTAACAAGAGGAACTGGTAGTACTAAAAAGAAAGAAAAAACCTTTAATGATAAATCTCAACATTTAGAATTCAGCTGCTATCTTCTTAAGGGTTTCCTAATAATTAGAACTTTTGTTTTTCTTCTCTCTCACAGCAAACCTTGAAGAAAAAATTGGTGGAGTTCAAGTCACTGCAGTTACAGGAACAGCGCCTGCTTCATGGTAATATAACTTCCTGCTCAGAAACCACATGTACATTTCATCTTTTTGGTATTTCTGTCTCTAGGTTGTTTTAAAATTATTTTTATTGCAAGAAAAGCTTGTCTAGCACCAGTCAAAGACACTGTGTTTCTTTGGCATCAACTCTCAAGTGGCCTATGCATTTGGAGGAGTAAGTGAAGTCATGGAACATACATATACATGAAAGCACGAGTACATGCATGCATGCACTTGCAAGATGTGTCTGGAGATTTCAGAAGAAGAGTCAGAAAGACTGTTTAAATTTCCTTCCACTTCAGCAACTGAATTAAATTCCTGAAAGTGACCACAGATGGGGGTTGTTAGCTTTCCAAAGCTGTTAGATGTGGGAAAAGTTACATACTTCTTAAGTGAAACTCTCACCCATTACATTTATGCAGAGAAATCTTTTTGCGTGGGTCCCGAGACTAAGTCAGACACGTGTAAGCTGTAACAATAAATGCAGAGCTTTTGCCACTGTATGCATTCTGAGGGAAAGGGCTGAGTTTCAAGTTTGTTGATTTGCTGTTTGCTGTGTGACTGATACAACCTGAGGAATGAACTTTTGTGTAGAAAGAATTGACTGAAATCACTAGCTATGTGAGTGTGAAATGTAGGTTATGTCTTCTTTGGATAACGTTTAGTTGAAATCTCTATAACCTAGAGTATCTGTTAAAAGTGATAATCACTTCATTTACAGAAAAGAAATAATTCTTTTATTTTAACAGGCACATCAAAGCAATATAATTGTACATAAAACATATGCATTGATTTATTTTATTTTTATACCAGGGATTGAATTTAGGACCTTGAGCTTGACAGGCAGGCACAGTGCCACTGAGCTAATCCCCAGGCCTGCATTGATGTTTTGATACATGTTTACATTTAAATGTTTAAATCATGCTAAATAGCTATCTTCTCAAACATTTATCTTTTTTGGGGGGTTAAAACATTCCTTTCTAAAGAAAAAAAAAGGATTCCTTTCTTCTAGCTTGTGGAAATACACACTACACTATTGTCACTTGTAATTACCCTACCGGCCTATAAAGTACACCAGAACTTGTTGCTGTTCTCTGACTGTAACTTGCTATCTACGGAGCAACCTTTTCTGTCCATCCTTCCTCCTACTGTCCCCAGCCTCTAGTATCCACCATTCTCCTCTCAACTTGTGTGAGCTTGAGATTTTTAGATTCCACATATGCATGAGATGGTGCAGTAGTTGTCTTTCTGTACCTGACTTATTTCACTCTGCATAATGATCTCTGGTTCTATCCACATTGTTGCAATGTGGATTTTTTTTTTAATGGCTGAATAGTATTCTGTAGCATATTTATACCACATTTTCTTTATCCATTCGTCAGTTGACAGACACTTAGACTATTTCCCTTTTTTGGCTAATATGAACAGTGCTGCAATAAACATGCAATAAAAAGACTGATTCTATTTCCTTTGGATATACACCCTTTAGTGGGATAAGTGAATCATATGGTAGTTTCGTTTTTAATTTTTTGAGAAACCTTTATACGTTCTTCATAGTGTCTGTACTAATTTACATTCCTACCAACAATATGCCAGGGTTCACTTCTTTTTCTCATCCTCACCAGGTCTTATTAACTTTTTCTTTTTGATAATAGCCATTCTTATTGGAGTGAGGTGATATCTCATCATGGTTTTGATTTGCAATTCCCTGATGAAAAATGCTGAGCATTTTTATGTACCTGTTATCCATTCATATGTCTTCTTTTGAGAGGTGTCTGCTTAGGTCTGTTATCCATTTTTAATTGGGTTGTATGTAGGGGATTTTTTGCTATAGAATTTTTGGAGTATCTTATATATATATTCTAAAAAGATACAATTTACTATTTACACATTAATTTATAGCTTAAGTATTTGCATTAAAATCTTTTTAAAAGATGAGTTTGAAGCAAGTGTTTTATATTTTCAATTAATATTTAAAAAATTCATGATTGATTTTCTGGAGGTCTGGGGTTTCTTATAGACATACGTATGAAATCTTCCTTGCAGCTTGCTAATTCAGCCACTTCCTGGCTTCCACAGACATATGAGTGTTTAAGAAACCTTTGCCTCCATTTCTGGACTGTCCTGACTGGTACAGGGAATGCAGGCAGTTCTCAGTTTCTTGTGGAATGGCCTCATAGGGACACAATTATAAGGTCAGGATTCTCATAAGGTCATTGTTTCACATTCTTTTGAGGAAGGTTATTACTTTTCATTTTCTGGAACTAGATTAATCATCTGGGGCTTGAGATTCTACAAGGCAGTGTTCTCCAAACAAAGCAAACTTATCAGCTCGTTGTAACATGAAATGAAGTAGGTTGTATTATCCGAAAATAAAACATTTCTAGTGTTTGAAGGACTACCCAAGTTCAACCTTGCAGATCAAATGGAAAAATGAACATTTTTTTTTGTATTGTCAACCAAGGACAAAGGAGAAAAAAGTAAAGATAATTATTACAAAATAAAAATATTTTTGAGTGCTTCATGTTCTATTACTTTTCTTGAAGCAGATTCACATTTTCTAAGGCCAGTATTGCAAATACACTTCTTTGTTTTAGCAGCACACCAGTCAATTCAGATAGTGTTTAAGCAAGTGGTTATTATGGGCAGGAAGTTGATGACTGATTAAGAGTTGGGTGTGGAAGGCCCAGATGTAGGTCATGAAGATTTGAGAAAAAGTTCAGCCAAGTAGGCAAAATTAAATTTCTTCAAATAAATTATTATGTATTTTAGGGTAGAGATGTTCTCTAAGCACAGTACCATTATAAAGTATTCCAAGAATTTAAGTCTTCCAAGATAAAACTTGGAATATTGAACCTGGAGGGTATATCTGATTTCATAAATCCCTTCTGTTCTAAATACCTTTCGATTCTCTGATTTATAAATGTGTTTGCCACACATTTCAAATGACTTTATATAATTTTACAATTAAAAATTGTTCATAACTAAAAATGAGAGTGATTGAATGGAGACAATCATTGAGACAACATTTCCCCAAGGGTTTGTTCTAAAATTTCTATGAAAAATTTACTAAAATGTTCTAGAATCACTTAAATTTAAGACATGATCATTTGGACATGCACATGTCACATTAGCATCTGGTGAGCTGGGTTGAACTGTTCTAGTATGAAGTACGTTAGCTTTCTGTCACCATAACCTGAGATAAATCATCTTATTAAAAGAAAAGTGTTATATTGGCCCACAGTTTTGAAAGTTCAGCCCATGATGGGTTTGTCCCATTACTTTGGGCTGGTGGTGGCACATCATGGCAGGAAGGTGTAGCAGAACAAAATTGCTCTCTTTATGACTGGGAGGCAAAAGCGAAAGAAGAGACCAGGATTCCACAATCCTATTCGAAGGCATCCCCTCCTTATGACCTAAAACCTCCTAGTAGGTTCTACCTCTTAAAACTTCTACTGTCTCCCAATAGTGCCCATTTGGACCTTTGAGGTACATTTCAGATCCTTCTAACATGAAACATCTTACTTATTCTAACATACAATTTTCATAACCACAGAACCCTTCCCTTGGCACCTATTCCATGAACAATAGTTTAGAAAACCCTAATGCACAGTTTTTCAAATGAACCCAAAAAGTCACATATTCATACAAGTGAAAACTCAGGGGAAAATATTATTCACCCCTACTTTTCTTCTGTTTTTTTAAAGATAAATTCTGGTGTGTGTTTTTGTAGGGACTGATACTCAGATCCATCCCCAAATAGACTTTGTTCTCTATTCTAGGGGACGCTGGTAACAGCCCAGGTTTGGAAAACATGGAGTTGGATGAGTTGGCTGTTTTGGGATCCCTGCCTGGGCCAGGCCCAGCCGTTCTGGAACAGAATCGGTTGTCCAGTGAGAGCAGCTGCAAGAGCTGGCTGAGCTCCATGACGGTGGACAGCGAGGACGGCTACCAGACCTGTGTGTCTGAGGACTCGAGCAGGGGAGCCTTCAGCCGGCAGACCAGTACTGATGATGAGTGCTTTGTCCTCAAGGAGGGGGATGATTTTATGAGGAGCTCCTATTCAAGGAGAAACCGAAGCATCAGCACGACCAGCAGTGGATCCATGTCTCCATTATGGGAGAATAATTACTCAAGCATGTTTGGGACTCTGCCTCGGAAGAGCAGAAGGGGAAGTGTTCGGAAACAACTCTTGAAATTCATCCCTGGCCTTCACCGTGCTGTGGAAGAAGAAGAGAGTCGCTTTTGATGGTGTATGGTACCTTTTAAAGTTAGCTTATTTCACAAATATAATAGACTCTCCTAGAGCAACTCCACCCAATTTGGTGGGAAAATGAAGATAAATTGTGAAACTGACAGCCCATTTCACAAGTAACAATGACCTTTATTTAAAATTTTACATCCTTTTTGTTTCTTAAATCATTTTTCGACCACAGCACCTCAGGTTCTAAGGAGACATTAGGGAAGTTAAATAATAGGTTAAATAATATAACCAATACAAGTTCTGGCTCATTCTAATGCTGCCTGTGAAATCAGGAATGTTTATTATCTAGATTATCTATATGAAAAATTGACAAACTTTCAGAGTCCGGTGTGAATAGGGAGTGACAGAATATAATTATCTGTTCTATGTTCCACAGGATAATTTGATAAGTTTCAAAACTTTGTTTGCTTTAGCTCAGTGCCTTCTCAGGAGCCATAATAGTATGTAATTTTGAGTGTTTCTGTTCAAGTCTTTAAGGAGTTATAAATAAAGATAAACATTAGCCTTTTCTCACATCTATAATGACAATAAATCAAGAAGTATAAAATTTAATATAAGGAATTAAGTTTCATGAGAACTATGAAAAGATGGGATCTGAGAAGAGTGCTGAGGAAGATTGATAATGTGACCTTCTTTATAGACACTTAAAATGGGTGGGATCTCATTCTTTTTAGCTCAACTCAATTTTCGTTTTGGCTGAACATTGATGACAAGGATAGGACACTCAGGATCCTACGGCTTTGTCATCACAAATATCTAAAACCCTCAAAAATTAGGATTAGGAAAAGGATTTTTCTCCTATAGATTTTTGTACATGATTCCTCACTGTATATTCCAAAGAATTATCACCTTAGCACTCTTTTACCTATTAATTATATTTGCATCATAGTGCTTCTGGCTTTTCAATCATGCTATATTTTATTCACTATCCATTAAGGTCCATGTTTTCTTTGTTCTGGTGATACAGCTGCTTTCTTCCTATACTCTAAAGTAGACAATCTCAACTGTATGATAAATGGTCCTCAATTATTTTAACTTCGTGTGTGTGTGTGTGTGTGTGTGTGTGTGTGCATGTGCAACTGTGTGTGTTATTAGGAAAAATAGAAACAAGTGATTTTGAGTAGAACTAGTACACTTAAGTAAAGTTCTGATTAATCTATAGAACAAATCATTTTGAGGAGAAAAGGGTGTGGTAAGGAAGCTTTGAGGGTAAGAAATAAATAACAAATTATAAAAATATTTCTAAGTGGGACCTGCTTTCTGTTAATTCTCTGAACTGACAAACATTCAGTGGACTTTGCATGAAAGTCACATGGAAGGCAGTGTGTAGCACCTTTTTCAAGCATAAGAACAATCCTGCCTACCATTTATTGAATGTGATTCCAGAATAGTTGTTGTTAGGCATTTAAATAAGGTAGAAACTTAGAGATTCCTGGGCTCACATGACTCTCAGTGACACAGTTGGCATTGAAAACTAATTCTTCCTGGATCTAGCCTATCTTCTTAGTCTTTCTGTCTATCCTTTATGGTTTTGCTGGCTTTGTGCAGTTATCATCAGAGTAATTTTTATTTCCCAAACAAGAAAACTTAAAATACAAATTATAAAACTGTGTAGATAAGTATATTGTATTTTATAAGTAAGAAGCCAAACAAACATTTAGAGTGACTGTTTCTTGTGTTTTACATAAGCAAATTTTCAGACACAGGCACATTAATACTTACATAGACTGCAGTGCATTTATTTCAGCATACTGTGGAAGAGGAAGGGCTTGAAAACCCGTTATGATTCAGCTGATACTGCTTATTTCTCATCACACTCTAGAATTATCATGTTAAAGATCAGTTTGTGCAAATGCAGTATTTCCTGTTAATTCTGTTTTGAAAGTCCAAGGGAAAGAAATACATTTATTTGGTGAAAGATGGCTCTAAAGTTTTCTGCACTGGGAAAAATTGCTTTGGAAACTACCACGGTCATTTGCAAAAGTAGGCTACAGGCCATTTCCTTTTCGTGTGGTTTTAATACAGAAGTGTAGCAGTGCTACATAACAGTAAATGTCAAATGCAGAATGGGAGCATGGAAAGGACACAGCAAGCCTCACTCAGTCTCTAATAAGTATTAGAGTCAAGAGTTAAATCTGTGTTCTGGGAAAAAAGAAAAGTTGGTTAACCAAGGTACAGGAAGGAAAGTATGTCACATTTTGTGTTTTCACAAGCTGCTTAGTGGAAATGTGGGTAAATTTCTCACAGGTTTTCAATCTGAGTCTGACCTAAGTGGAGCTTTAGAAAAATCTTCTGGTACACACTGACTCACTTTAAGTAATTTATGAGGAAAAGAATTTTAATTTTTTTGGTGGCGAAGTTGTCAAATATGTATTACTAATGAATTACATTGATTGACAAATTATCACAGAAGCACATTTTTCCAGAATGGCATTGATAAACCAAATTTGAGTAAAGCATACTGGAAAATTATTTTATCATATGGCTGAAGAAGCAACACCATATCAAACTGTTAGGAAATACATTTTTTGAAATAAATTTTTGTTCATCATGTACTTTGGAAGACTTTTATATCTTAGGTATATGACAAAAATTTTGTCTAGTTTGAACCAAAGAAATCAAAGTTGGACACAGTTTGTATGTTCTGGTCATAAAGTGTGGGTATTTAAGAATATATACAAAGTAAGTATAGAAAATAATGCCAAACTATATTAAGAAACCTTTAAGATCACAAGAATGTTCTTACTTTATGTCTGCCTTCCTACAGAACAATGGACTACAAAATCAAAATCTGATGCCTTTCTGAATTAAACAGTGTTATTCTTTGGTGTCAGAATTTTCTCTCTAACTCCATTTTTTTGTCTCTTTACTTCACTAAAGGAAGAGGTTGGCCTTTTTTATTTTTTCAAAATGTGCATGTTAAAAAGCATAAAATTTTACAGGGATCAATCACTATATATCTCAGAAGTCCCTCCAGCAGTCTCAGTGTACAACAGCTTTTCTTGTCTTTGCTCAGTCACTGCCCATTTAAGAATCATTGGAGATGATTGTAGTTCTTAAAATCAAACTTGTTCTGTCAAATCCAAGACCTTGAATATATTCAGATTGTAGAAACATACATTTACCACCCAAAACCCAAAATGCCTCATGTTCAGATCAACAACAGCTTTAATTGCTGATTCAACTCTCTCAAACTCTAAAAATATGTGTACTACTTCATCAGCATGGGTACCAGGATTTCAAATATCACACATTTTCCAACTTGGCCATATTTTTCACATTTTCCCTTGGTTTCAACTTCCATATCTTTCTTCTCCTGCACAAACTATGTTCCTCAGTAGGGCCACTTTAGTAGAATGCTTAAGTATTTCAGTTAATGCAGAATTCATTGAATCTGACTTCTTGGATATATCCTGAGACTCATCAGGATCCAAGTGGCATCACCCATATTGATCCTGCTGCCCTGTTTTCTGATTTTCTTTACTGACAATGTGGGGCTCAACCCCTGCTCCCGTTTCCCCCAACGTTGGCCTTCCAAAATGCCACATTTCTGTGTGATCTTATGTGCCACCGTGTGATCCACATTAGCTGAAGAGTCACAGTCTCTGATGAAGATCAGTCTACTCTGTTCCTCTTCCACTGGGGAAGGAATAGGAGTTTTGGAAGACTATGATCAAGGATTTGAGTCCTCCTGGTGTGGAAAATCTCAGTAACTCCTCTGTCTCTCTTTTTGAGGGAGGTGAGTGGGGGTGATAGTAGCTCCTCCCATATTCTTTTTCTCCTACTTCCCTTCATTGGAATCTGGATCTGGTCACCTTGAAAACCCACCAGTCTGTCTGTAGGCCTCTTTCCCCTTCTCTTCTACTTCCTTCTGTCTCTCCAACTCCTGCTGTCTCCATTGTTCCTCTCTTTTATGGTTCGCTATTTTCTCATAATCATAGGAAACATAGGATTTTCTTGCTCAGCTAAAGAAATCTGAACCTCAACCCCCTGGGAATGCGTCCTCCAACCTGCTTTGACCTGAGGTGGCGTGTCATCCACCATCTGCTGGTCATCCAAGGAATCATCCTACTTTAGTCAATGACTGGGGCAAGGACAGTGCTTTGCTTTGCTCTTTGGCTTTCTGCACGAGTGAGAGCTGCCTCTGTACCTGAAGCTGAGGCCACAGAAGTTTGAAGTATTAGGACCAGCCTTGTTTTTGAGGCACTAGTTTCTACTCTCAAGTCATCATATAAAGATATCTTTTCCACTGAATGCTGGCGTATCCAGCCTCTGCCCACTGGCTTGGGAATGGCAGAACACTGCAGGAGCCTTGAGACAGGAGCCAGTTCATGCACACCTCTGCCAGGTTGGCCTCACACTTCAAAGCACTGGGTGAGGGAGCACCAGCACGGGTAATGGTGGTTGTTTTGAAAGCAGTTTTTAAAACCCGGGAGACCCCTTGGCATAACTTATTTGAGGCCATTAAGAGGAACAGCCATGCTGGAGACATGATTCAGTGATACAGCACTTGCCTGGCATACAATGAGGCCCCAGGTTTGATCCTCAGCACTGCACATCACATAAAATATTACCTACTTAATAGATGCTTTATATATACATTCATTTTCTATTGGTGTTTGATAAGTTAATGCATGTTTAAAAGCCTAACTTATATATTCCCTCAACATTTCTGTGGGTCACGAGTCTGGGACATGGGCTACATGGGGCTGTAATCACAGAGTTTTCCAGGCTTGACTGGGGAAAGACCTAATTCTAAGTTCCTTCAGATTGTCATCACTGGGCAAGTGATTTGTGACAGTTTCTTTAAACCCATCAAAGGAGATAATAAAGAGCAACAAACAAGACAGAGCCTTAAGTAATGTGATCTAATCACAGGTGTGATGTCCTATAATCTTTGCAATACAACATAACTGCTAGAATGCCTTCCCATCATCTTTGCCATAGGTAGCATAGGTAACATGGTCATGACATCCCAACAGCTTTGCCACATAGCAGAACACAATCATAAAAGTCATATCCTATGGAGTGAGTCATCTACTGATTGACAGAAGCAAGTCATAGGCTGTAGCCTCAAGAAGCAGGAATTAGACAAAGGCATGAGCAACAAGAGATGGGGTCGGGGATGAGGAGCACCTTAATCTGTCTGCAAGGTGGTTCAAGGAGCCCCACCACTGACCCACGTCTCCAGCTTGGTAATATCTCTTAATTTTCTTTTAGTAAAAATAAATGGTAAATGTTACAATCTTATTTATTTATTTATTTTTGATACCTGGGATTGAACTTGGGACCTTGTGCTTGCAAGGTATAATCTTATTTTTTATATAAAGTACTTTGGAATTAAAAAGCCAAGACTCTAGGTAAAATAGCTAAAAAACTGGGTAGCAAATCCAGGTCTATTCTTGACCTTGCAATTTTGCCTCCCAGGTGTCTTGAATGACAGATTTTAAGAGACTATTAAAGAGTGAACAGGTTATTTCTTTCCTTTCAAATTCTATTCAGGTAATGTAAATAAGTGAATTCAGTGATAGGTTCTCCTTTAAGAGCTGAGGACAGTAGAGCTTTCACAGAAACACAAATAAAACACTCACCATTAAAACTACAAAACACAAAAGGAAATGATCAACCATAAGCAAAAGTCAGGAGAGATCAGGAATGAAATCACCAGAATTTAAAGGGAAAATGCAATTTGAAATATCTATATATCTATA